TCAGTTAGTATCATTCTCTGATCAGCAAATAATTCTCACCAAAAAAAAAATATGGAAACTTTAATGAAGCTGGCATAAGGGTTGTGAAAATACTATTTACATATACAGAAGGCAGATTTCATCAGATCTGCAAGTTATTAAAAAAATTCCTGTAGGATGATTAAATCTTGTTTGTTGCATTATGTTTGTGTTCATGTTTTCTATGTTTTCTCTGTACTTGAGAGGATTGTGTGAGATGATGTTGTGAGAAATGGAGAACTATAATGCTGAGGACTCATAGCCAAAACAAAACAAATAGAGCCAAGACAAGAAGTGCAGATGAATTCCATGAGTTAGAATATGTCAAGAATCAAAAATGTACACATATTAGGGTTTATATAATGAGCCATATCATGAGTAACAATGAGCCAGAGCCAAATAAACATTCTAAAATAAGTTACGAGAATAAAAATAACTTTTCATTTGACAAATGCTTAGTAGGTTCTGGATACCACATTCATACTTAGCCTAGACTACTTCATTTAATCCTCACTCCAACTTTGTGACATAGGTATTGTTGTGTCCATCTTTTGATGTGCAAACTGAGCCACAGATAAATCCTGTGACTTGTTTAAGATCACTGAATTGAAATGGCTGAAACAGACTAGAAACCTATGCACATCAGAGTTGAAAGCCTTTTGTGTTGATGGCAAGACAAGAGGAGACTAATTGCTGAGTTAAATTTCTGCCTCAGCCTCAGGATTATGTTATTAGCATTCCCAATCTCACAAGTATTCTGTTTATTAATGGTCCATTCTTTCAAATGGCCACTACCTTTCCATTTCCCTGGCACTGGTTTGTAAGTTACCAATAGAGCGGTAGCCTCTCTACATAATGTCACTCTCTGGTGGGCTTGAATCATCTTATACAACACATCTGTATGTCAGGCTAAAAATAGTAAATCATGAAATAAATGTTCATTGAGCTATCCTTGTGTAAAAGATTTTTTGATTGTAAGAAGGTGCAAAGATAGGACATAATCTCTGCCTTTTAAGAGATTAAATATATAAGACATATATAAATGGCTTAAGTATATATAGTTCTCTAAGAGCAAATCAATTATTCCAAAATTTCTAGCCTGGTATATATAAACAAAAGATATTTTTATCTTAGTAATAACAAGACTACTTAATTACCAGGTTTACCCATGTTAAATGCAGAGCTAAGCTATGACTGAAAATGAACAATGATATACAATTATTGGGTTTAGCATAAAGCCTTGTCACAGCATTTGCTCAATAAATATTCACTGTTTTAGTATCATAATGAGTAGCAAAACAGTAAAGATAGCAAGGAAAGAAATGTTTCCCACTGGAAGGAAATTTTCCACCTGTAATGTGAAAGAAAACATTATGCATGTCTTTTGTTTTCAGGAGAGACCAAGAAGAGAACAATCTAAGCCATGACAAATATTTATTATAAAAGAATGATGAATATAACATGATGCAGAGAATAAGCATAAAAAAGTTCCTATGAGAGTCCAGAAGAGAAGAGTTTATTTCAGAATGTAAAATATTAATTCATTTTATCTTTGTTATACCTATGGCTATCAAATTTCACTGTTAGTTCTTGAGTATATTTCAAGATTGGCTTGTCCTTTTAGAATACATTTGCAAAAATAAAATGACATAATGTTGAGAAAAATATCTGGATAGCTCAAGGTCAAAAGCATAATGTTGCGCAAAAATAAAGACTTATGAAGGAAATATATGTACATAGATTACTGAATACCATTTCAGGATAAGTGACTTTTGAAAAGGGTAGCCAAAACTCTACACCTAAGGGAACCACAACATGCCACAAAAATAGGATTGACCCATTTAATTAGTAAGGTCTTGAACTTACATGAACAGCATATAAGTTCATGGCACTGTTGGTTTAAGATCCTACTAAGAGTAATGTTCAGCATGCACTGGAAAAAGACGGCAAAAACCAGGTTATTTATCCTATTTTGAGAATCATAGTATCTTGAAATTGGACAAGAACTTTTAAGAATCAGTTATACACCAAATGCCGGATAGTCACTCAAAATTATTTAAATAGTTCTAATCTTGTAAACTTTTTCATATTGTAAGTAGAATACTCTTATTTTTATTATTCTGTAATTAGATTTCTTCCTAATCGTTGCATCAAAACATTTCTTCTACTAATTTCTACATGTTCTACTAGTTCTATCTACACATAATAATCATATACTCTCTTTCCAATAATTACTCCTCAAATTCAAGAATAGATCATCTGTTGTAAGCTATCTAGTCCATAGTTCATCATGTGATGTCTCATCTGGATTCTTCATTATCTTAGTTTCCTTTCTCTAAAATTTCCAGTTAAATTTCACGCCCAGGTAAGAATAAGTACCACAGACATGATAAATCCAAGGAGAGTAGTACCACAGGTTACCTCCCAGGTCAGTGTTTCTTTGTAACTAAATACCAATGGGCTTTTTTCCCCTTATCTATTGAGGATCAAAGAGTTTATTTAAAAAAAAAATAGAAAAGTAGGGGAAAAGATACAAAATATAAGCTCTGCTTACTATGATTAAATTCATCTAATGTAAAATAACTCAGTCATTTGCTTATTCTCAATTTATTTTCTTATCTAATTAAAAACTTGCGCTGCCACTGATTTGAGGACCACACTTTGAGTGGACCTGTTCCAGGTAAAAGATGCTGTAATAAAGTTTATGCAGCCCAGATTTGTAAGTATTGAAAAATAAATACTTTCATCAATTTGAAGTCAACAATAATCTGTCAACCAAATTTACATTAGTATATATTAAGCTGAATTTTTCCATCCAGGTCTGTACACTTTCTTTTGAAAAATATAAGTTCAGTAATTTTTATACATTAATATGATTGTAAAATGTTAATTTGCTATTGTTAACTATTGCTACCTTTATTTTATTTCTAATGTATTTATTTTTATTTTTATCATTATTAAAATAATATATTTTCAATATGAATAATATAAAAGATACAAAAATATATAGAAAATAAAAATAAAGTCAGCTATAATCTCACCATTTAAGATTAACACATCAGACACTGCCTTTGCACTCAGGCAAAACTGAATTTAAATCTAGCTATATAAATTACTACTTGTAAACCTTGGGCAAATAACTTACTTTGCTAAGTACATTTTAAGAAGAGAAAAGCCTCTCTATAAATTAGTTGTGAGCATTAAATAAGCTAATAAATGTAAATTGCTTAACACAGAGCAGCCATATGTTAAACCTTTGAAAAAGTTATTACACAGCTACAATATTATACTGTTTATAATCTATTGTTTACCCCATATATTTTGCCCAAAATTGAGATTTTACTGAATGTAGTTCTTTTTACGGTCTTTCTATAAAAAATACTTCAGCTTGTTGTTCACTACTAAAGATCTCTCTCTAGGTCAGTATTTCTCAAATTTCAGATTTTTTTTTATAGAGAAAAGTATGGTTTTTTCCTAATAACATAAAAGAATTTTTGAAATTATTTCCATCACAATTTCTTTTCTGACAGGGCCATGTAATTTCAGGGTTCAGATGTCTTTCTTTTCATGGCCCAAGTAGTCATTTTTTATTATTGCAGACCAGAATTCAACAAATTTTAGCCTCTAAGCTAAACTGGCTCACTTCCTGATTTTGTAAACAATGTTATATTGGAACAAGCCGCATCCATTCATTTACCTATGGCTTATGGCATCTTTTGCACTAAAACAGCAGAGTTGACTAGTTCTGACAGAAACCATATAGCCTGCAAAGCTGAAAATGTTCACTGTCTGGAACTTTACAGAAAAGTTTGCCAATTCCTGTCTAGACAAATAAGAATAGAATTAAAATGGATTTAATGTGCAAGAAATAATTTTATTACCAAAGATTTCATCCTAATCTGAGACTTAAATTTTAAAAAGTAACAGAAACACTTGGTCAAAATGAAGTTCAGTGGCAAATGTGACTGAAATTCAGATCTTAATCCACACCAGTCAAGAAAGCACTTACAACATAAAGAACACGGGTTGGTATCTAGAAGATAATACAATGTCCCTTTTATTAGTTTGTATCCTATCTAGAGTTAATTAACTTCTTATATCTGTAAATTAATGCTTTTCATTAAATTTGAAATGTTTTGGAACATTATTTCTTCAAATTTATTTTTCTGTTTCTTTCACTTTCTTTCTTTGTAGAACTCCTTATGATGAAACACTCTATATTGTCCCACATGTGTCTGAGGTTCTGTCCATTTTTTTTCTGCCTTTTCTTCTCTCTTCTTCAGTTTAGATAATTTCTATTGATCTACCTTCAAGGCTACTGATTCTTCTACTAACTAAAATTTACTGTTGAGTCCATCTAGTGAATTTTTCTGTTTGGTTGTGGGCTTTTCAACTCCAGGATTTCCATTGGAAATTGAGGAAAGGACTAAATTCTCCTCGAGAGCCTTTGGAACAACCACAGCCCTATAGACACCTTGATATTGAACCTCTGGCCTCCAGAACTGTGAGAGAATAAATTTCTACTGTTTTAAGTCACTACATTTGTGGTAATTGGTTATGTCAGCCCTAAGCTACTAATACAGTCCCTATCCAAATTCCTGAAAGCAATTCCATGACCGCAATCAAACGGTTGTTGTTTATGCCAATAAGTTTGATAAGGTGATTTGTTATATAGCAATAGATAACTATTAATATATCAATTCACATGTAGATTTTTGGAAATCCTGAAATGCTCCAACAAAATACTATGTTAAATATACATTATCACTGTTGCCCTGAGTTGTTCATCATAATAGTTTTCATTTGCTGCTATTTTCCCTTTTTCTTTTTAAATTAGTGTTAATTTTGTTTCATTAATATTAGATTGCTTGGTGGAACTGTTTGGTACCTCTAAAATGTATAGTAGAATTTTTTAGTGCATATTAGCCCATGATTTTCCAACTAAATCATAAGACTATATGTATCAAGACTTACTTGTAAATCATATATTTTCTTATTGTTGACACGGGCACTCCTACAGTGGCACCTTACTTGTGGTATGATGCTTGTGAATTTTGCCATTTAAACAAGTCACGATATACTATAAAAACAAAGTATTGAGTAATTGTTAATTTTACAAGGCATTATTTTATAATATTGATTTATAGATATACAGTCATGTTCTTCTCTTACTAACTCAATAAAGATTATTTTTCCACTGAATGTGAACTAATTCATTTTTTGTTTTTTTTTCCTGGCTAAGTGAGTGTAAGTCAAAAAAAGTTTAGTAACCTTTACCTCTGCGCTAGTTGCCTCCACATTCATTTATAAACTGACCAAAAGACCATTTAAGAGTGATATTATATAGTCTATAATTATTACTTTTGTATAAGTAATCTTTGGGAGATGCCTGGCTTACATCAAGATATATAAGAACTGTTCAAAGTTCCTCATCTGTTAGCCTCATTACTCATTAGAAAAGAATAAATAGCAGGTTAATTTGACAAGACTTGAGCTTACTAAAGATGTTAGCTAATGGTTAGTATTTTCTAAGCACATTCAAACCAACTGCTTAATAATTAATTCTAAAGCGTTAACATAACTCAAGGCCAAGTTCTTTAGTTCTCAGCTTCTGAAGTCTAATTTACCTTGGTTTGAAAAATCTTTATATTTGTTCTTTTCCATCCTTATGGTATTTTTTTGAAACAATTCCAATAATCATTACAGTGCCCATTTAATCAAAAATCCAAACAATAATCAAGAATGTTCTGGGTATTTTTTGTTGTTTATATGTTCCACTGTTACCTATTTTCATCAATTACTATTTCACAAAATTCAACACTCCAAAATTAAGTTTTCAGGGTCTTTCTTTTTCTGAATATGACCTAGTCCTGAAAATAATATCAATTTATTTTTGTCATTTAGTTCTTAACATTCTGCTGGCTCACACCCTCTTTCACATTAAAATTGAGAACAACAAAAGCCTCTGATCCTTCCATTGTTTTTTTTTTCTAATAGGTTATTAATTTCAAGAATTTTGTATAACTGCTTATCACTGGGTTTAATTCATAATCCAATTCTTCATTAGTGACTACAATGTGGCATTCCTCTAATATTTCTAGCTAACCTACCAGATGCAAGTTAAATTTGCTGGTAACTATTTCTGGTTTGAAATGACAATATCCTCTGACTTGTTTGGCTTTATACAGTTTACAAAATACTTTTAAATGAATTATTCTATTTTCTCCTTATATCCCTTGAGCAACAAGATTTCCAGGGTTTATTTTCTGCATTTTCTGCATGAACAAATAGAAGCTCAGGAGATTTACTTTCTGAGAGTAAAATGATTCATAACCAGTAGAACTGATGGAACAGATTTTATAATATGCAATTGCCCTCTGTATGTAGAACAACATGGTTACCATGTTGACCCCTGCTTCATACCCTGAAACAGAGATTCCTAAAAATAAGGTTTCCCAATTCTGCACATGCCAGAACTCTCATCTTGCCCTAACAGCTTGTGCTTAAGTTAAAAAGAATAGTGAAGTATTTAAAAGGGCTTAAAATTAGTTACTGACAAGAAATTTAATACCATTATAATACAAATTTCAGGAAAGTTAAGAAAACATGCTAAAGCTCAAACTAAGAGTTAATAGCTTTATTTCTATGGATAGAGGAAAAGCCATAAGAAATGTTGATAAAATGCTGACTTTGGCTTACTTGCAAAAATCAATAAAAACATTTAATTTTCAGGAGTAGGGGATATTTTGATGATATCAGCTTCATTACTTCCACAGATTTAAATATGCAAGACTTTTAGGAAAAAATGACATTCATTATGACAAAGTTTCCCCAACTCCAAAAGTATGCTGAATGCCATGATATATAAACATTGAATGGTAATGGAGAGTCACAAACAATGCCTTTAAAGGAAAATCTCATTTCCAGAAAAGAGAGACATTTCTTATTTAAATATGGGCTTTCCACAAGAGGCTTGTTAGTCCTAATTTCATCCGTACTATTCTGGTTAAAATATCCAATTTGCTCTTTTTTTTTACATGATTATCATGCTTTCTATAGTGTCATTAGCCATGGTAATAGCAGTTAGGGACAATGCTTGAAAATTCATAGCAATTCCAGTTTTAACCATGTGTAAGCTTTATGCTTAATGACTCTAAATATAACAAGGAAGATATAAAACATGAAAATAAAAACAATAATCAATATAATAATTTAAATTTAAAGATATTTGACTGCTCATATATATGGACATACAAACACAAAGGCTTAAAAATCAGGAATTATTCAAACAGGTTAATTTAGAATTCTTCAGTCATTTAACTCCAAGAGTTCTGATGTAGATTGCTATAGTGTATTCTTCAAGACTCCGGTTAATTAGCTGTTTGCAATTAGTCTATTCATGAGCTTATAAACCTGAGTATTTTTCTTATTTTCATTTTGTATTGAAAATGCAAAGAAGTATAAAAGAAAGTATTGCATGTATTTGCACATACATGCAAAGAAGTATAAAAGAAAGTATTGCTTATATTATCAAACAACTCAAAGGAAACGTAGTGGATCAGTCCTGGCAAGTTGAGAATTGCTCTGGGTCAGCAAAAAGAGATACATGCAAATTATATTGAAAATACTTCTTCATTTGACACCTCTTCCTCAATCTTTTTTTGGCAATGGGGAGGAAAATATCTACCATGCTGTTGGTCTGATCTGACTGACCTGAACAATATGGCTTACTATGGCCCTTTTCTTTGTCTTTATTTCTCAGCTTGATTCCACCTACAGCTGACCATTAAAGAAAGGTAGTTCTTTGTTTCATAAACTACAGGGTTTTTTGTATTGGTTTCAGTTTTTTTTTTATAATTTTTCCTTTCTTCGACGGAGATTTGGCATGTTCCAGGCACATGGTATAAAGATTTGGAAGTATTAGAGCATATAATCAATAAGAATCAGGCTCAAATTTTCTAACAGTAGCATTGGTTTGAGAAAACATCCGCATAGAGTTTCTGTGATAACAGCAAGAGCAATAGAGCTCCTCCAAGCAGCATAGAGTTAGCTTTATCTCCTGTCCCAGCTGGTTTCTATGGCTAGAGGCAGAGATAACTACTTGATATTTAGACCCAATCGTTTCCTGATACTCTCATCTCTTAGTAGTGCCATGATAGGCCAGAAGGAAGTTAAACAACTGCATTAATTATTTAAAGATGGGCCCCAGATATTCTCAGTTATATCAATGCCCCTCCTGCAGATGAACTCTGCAGCTATTATTGGAAAAATTAGCTGGGCTCTTTTAAAAGGATGACATATCCATAAGATGCTGAAGACATGGTTAAATGGCTTACATAAACCTCAAGTTCACTTTTGATATTAATTGCTCAATTATCAGTAGACTCTGAATAGTTATGCACATTCTATATAACATAATCAGGAGCCCTGTGGGTCTCTTGTCACAGTGATGCCTCTTACCTCAACAGAAAGCCACAGCAGTTTAAAACCCTTAAATGTTTTACAGTGTATTTATTCAATAGCTAATAATTAGTGCTTTTATTAGGTCTATGCAGGTTGCAATTAGCAAAAATCCACTATATTAGATTATACCAAAAGAGAGAAAGTATTTTAGAATGCAGAAATGTCTTATGAAGGCCACACAAAAATATTAATAATAATACCAAATGTTACATGACAAACATTCTGAGACTTAAGATACAGAACATGACTCCCATTCTAATAACAAACTCATCAACTGATTCATATTGTACAGACACTAAGGAAGTGATTAAAGCTCTGTGTTATGTGATTCTTAATACTTTCTTTAGAAATGCTTGACCTTACCTTATTTCTCAAAATCACACAGTTAAAAAAAAGTGGGAAAATCATAAAGAAACTCTGTGCTCCACTGTTTATTAACTTAAGCATTTATATTTTCTAGATGCCACAAAAGAACTCATTATTATTACAAAGAATGAGAGGAAAAGCTGACTTTAACTTAAGCTGGAGTATGTAGTTGTTGGGAAAGTCCTTTTTGAGAAAACGACATTCAAACTAAGATCCAAAAATGAGAAGGCATTAACTGGATGAGGAGTAGAAGTAAGAGAAATGCAAGCAGAGGGAATATTAAATGTAAAAATTCAACAAACTAGAACAAACAATAGTAGAAGTTGTTAAAATCAAATCCAAGTTAAAACAATCAACAAGAAAGCATATTGAAGTACATAACCGATATAGGAAATATGATACATTACCCTGTGCCAAATGGTTGTTTAATTTTTAATTACATTAAATTACCACAAATATTTAATTAGACACAGGTGGTAACATAAAATCCCTTTTTGGATCTCGGCTCTAAAATATTATGTGGATTTTTTTATCTGCAGTCTATATGTACATATACATATTCATCGAGTGCGAATGAGTGTAGATTTATCAGCCTGAAAGAAAACTTTCCAAGAATAAAAACATTCTGATATTGATAAACAACTGCCTGAATCACAGTTTCCAGTCCTGTGTGCAGACCAGCTGTGCTGTTAGTTATAACTTCTGGCATGTGTATAAATCTAAGCTTTATTCCATCCCCAGAGATTCACTACTTGTCCAGGCAAGTTTAAAAATACATGTTTTGAATTCTAGGAAGGTGCCAATAGTAGCAGAGTTTTTGGATCTTCCTGAATTCCCCCAAAAGAGAGAAAGCAACTAGAATAAAAAAATCAAAACCAACATACAATATCAACAAGAAAAAGAGGTGAAATGTATCTGTAACCAATCCTACAACCCCAAATATGGGCAGGTGTGGACAAACCGTGATGACTGAAAAATCTGTGTGGTAACTGCAGCTATGCAGAAGAAAGCAAAGCAAGAGAAACTCAAACAACCACTAGATACTCAGAGAAAAGTACAGTGGGCCAGGGGGAGAGCCTCAGCTGGAGTGTAATTGCAAGGTGAAGACATTTAAGATCTAAATCTGTTCTCTCAGCAAACTTCAAGTATACAATACAATAACTATAGTCATCACATAGTAATCATTTCACAAGTGTTATGTATTTTAAATCATCATGTTATATAAATATATTCAACTCCTCAATAAAGTTG